CTGAAACGTACATTTCTATAGGTTCCGCTATGTTAGTTTTATAAAATTTGTCCAGCCCTTTCGGCTGATTAGAAAAGGGAAAAAACCACATTCCTCCACACTATCGAATGCCCTCTACAACGTGGTCTTAATGTCTGCCTTGGGCTGAACAAAAAATACTTGATCAGCGAAGTGTCGCGTTACGTGGACAAGCTGTAGAATTCTTAGAATAAAAAAACTTAGGCAAAAGAATTCGACTTTAGGTATAACAACTAAGACAACCGAGTCTACCAGTCGACCGACAACTTCAAGTTCTAAAACGACAACAATCAGTATGTTCTCAAAGCAAGTTTTTTTCTCTTCTTCTCATGCTATTTTTCGTATTTTTTCTTTAGCTCGACCAACCAATGCTATAACTGCACCGACGAGTAAGATCTCAATCTGAATTGGAAGAGCTAAAAACTAATGTGGCATTTTTCTTCTCCTTTCTTACAGTTCATTTGACTACTACAAGTATGACAAGTAGGTGAAACCCTTTACACGTAAGTTACATCAACTTTCATTGCTATTTTCCTTCTGGCTTTTTCTAAGCTCGACTAACTAACGCTACAACTTCAACAGGTAGGAACTGAATCAAAGAGATTAGAATATTTTAGTGTTATTTTCTCTACTGTTTAGCTCGTTTGACAACCGTCAACACAACTACTCGTAAGTGCTTGCTTCAAGCCTTCTAATAACAAAATCAAAGAAGAAAACTTTTTGTTCTGTCCTTTACAGCCTATATTCTAATTGCTGCTCAATGTCGTGGTGCCTCCTGCTATAACTTCAGTCAATGTTCATCTTCAAATTCACAATGTGTTTGTTTTATGATTGCAAATGGAGCTGGAATTTGTGGACTTGGTTCAGTCCTCTGTACTAGTCTAACAAATTGTAGCAGCAGTAATACATGTTCACAATCAAATACTATTTGTGTAATAAATAGTTGTTGTAATAGACCAGTTTGTTTTCCAGTTGCACAAGCTGGTGAACAAGTTTGTCCGACAGGAGCTTCAACAAGTACAACTTTCACAACGAGCATTTCACGGCTTCCATTCTCTTCTTCAACGACTGGAGTCACTATTGGAGGAACTAGTAAGCAATGAAGAAAGCTCGCTCTTTAAAATAGCAAAAGTAACATCTATATTTTGCTTGTTTCAGCTTCGATGTACCCTGGTTCAACAGCGACGATGCAAACATCAGCAGGAATCAGCCAAGGTACCGCAGCAGCAAGTAAGCAAAAGACTAAAGTACTAAAATATTTTTTTTACTAGTTAACACCTGGTCTGTGAATTCCTTCAGGCTCAGTTTGACACTGTTCGTGTTCCCTTCCTGAAACGTTCAGTTTCGAAAGGATGTTGATATATTTTTAGAACGAAGATCTCTTTTAGTTAGCTTTAAGGCATGAAAAAGCTGCTTTGAGTTGTAGGGACATTTCGCCTTACATGCCAACGAATGATCGAGATCCGTAGAAATAAAACGTTAGTATGCAAATAGCTTGTCGAAAAGCTTAGCTCTTTTACAACTCAGCAAACCCTACTTACGAGGGAAGTGCCCCAACTGATAAATCGCTTTTTCAACGAAACCGAGTGGACTATAGGTAGTCGACGATGCTGGTCCCCAATATCACCATGAATGCTGCTGCTAGGCCATCAGAGATCGGTCTTCTGGAAAAACAGTTTTTGAGAAACTCTAAAGAACAACCAAAAGCTTTCTTAATGAGGCGTAATTGTAGTCCATAAATTTCTGATTAAAATGAAGCATCTCCCACCTCTACATGACCTTTCTTTGCAAAGTTATAGAGTTTACAAGAAAGCCCTCAATTCATTTTTCGTTTTTCTTTCTGTAGCTCTGAGGTGATAATGAACATTTAGGGCTTTTCTTGTAAACTCTATAACTTTGCAAAGAAAGGTCGTGTAGAGCTGGGAGATGCCTCGTTTTAATCAGAAATTTATGGACTACAATTACGCCTCATTAAGAAAGCTTTTGGTTGTTCTTTAGAGTTTCTTGAAAACTGGTTTTCCAGAAGACCGGTCTTTCAGCAGCAGCAGCATTCATGGTGATATTCGGAATCAGCATCGTCGACTACCTATAGTCTTCTCGGTTGCGTTGAAAAAGCGATTTATCAGTTGGGGTACTTCCCTCGTTAGAGCTATCGATGTCAAAAGATTTCTCCTCTATATTGAGTGTCACCAAGCTCTGATTAATCTCAAAAAACAAAGAGAAAATTCGGCTCTATGGCAGATCAGAGTACGATTTTTGATTTTCATCCCCGCTTTTGAGAAAAAAAGAATTCTATAAAAACTGTCCATGGTTTTTCTAGGTGTTCAACTTAAAAGATTTAAAATTGGGTTCTGCTGGGCCATTGTGTTGAGTTTTTTCTTTAACTTCACCACTAGTTCTGCTAACGAACTATAATTTCGTCACTTTTTCTTCCATTTTGATTTTTCTCGTTTCTGACTGAGGACATATGTACAGTTCTGCTACGTCTGAAATTGAAGAAAAATGTGTTCAATATGTGTTGAAAAATGTGTTGAATATTATAAATATGATCATTCGTCTTTGTGGTGGTGACTACTCAATGTAATTTGGAATAGATCTCAAAGAAAACTAAATCCAAACTAATCTTTTCTATCGAAACTAATTCAGATTTTTTAGCAAAAAATAATTTAATTAAATTTGAGAGCTGAAATCGATTTAATAAACTTAGGTCAATTCAGGTTAAATTAATATAGATTATTTCTTACTGATTTAATTTAAATTACTTAAAATTAATTGATTTTCGCCACTGATTTGAACCAACTTCGAGTAGAAATTAATTAAAATTAGTTCTAGCTGTTGAAATTGGTGTAAACTAATTCATTTTAAATTAATTTAGATCAATTTGAACTTCTCAAATTCGTGTGAATAAAGTTTTCAGGTTTTGGTAGAAATCTGTCGATCTGATCATTCGTATGATTAACACTTTTCTCTAACTCTTCAATTCTTATTTCTGCTATGTTAGACATGGACTATTCGAAAAACAAATATTTGGCCCATCTCTTAATGAAATTTTGGTTAAGTTGCTGATCTCAGTAAGAAACAGTTCAGCGGATTTTGTTTCCATGTCAGTTTGTAGGGAAATAAAATTTATAAAAAAAAGTCTGTTTTCCAAAAAACGCGAACTTGTAAAATTCTTTACTGAAACTTTACAGCTGTTGCCTTGTGGCTATAATTTGATCTGTAAAAACTCCCTAGAGACTCCGACAGACCAAAAACTATATTTTCCTCCGCTATCGACTGTGCTGTACAATTCGGTATTAGTCGTCTCGTTGAAAAACGATGAAAAATTTTGAAAAAGACCCATTGTGCTGGATAATGAAACTTCGCATAGATACTGAAGCCGTGCGTACAGTTGCAAATGGATTAATTGTTCTCAAATTCCAAAATCTTATATTGATCAAAGCAAAGTTCATGTGTTTCAATCTCTATTCATACAAGATAGATTTTGTGTTTTTCGATAGTTGTAATTTAGAGTTTAGAGAGTTAGAATTGCTCCGTTTGTAATTTGAACGAATAAAGCTGATATCAAAATGGATAGACAAATAATATAAATCTCATTTAACCAGAGATTTTTTGACACAATTAAGTATTATTTTCGCCATACAAATCTAGTACAAACGTTTAAAAAGGAAGGAAAAAGTATCTCAATAGTACACAGTATGACATTTTCATTTCTTTGAAAATCGAAGACAAATAGAAAAAAGTTCATGTTCTCTTTTATTTGCTTTTGCTTTTTATAATCTATAGCTATGTGATTATAATCTGGTAAGAACAACAGTCTTCATTTTCATATAATCATTTCATTGCTACACTCATATGATAAATAAAAAAACTAACTTGTGGTTATATAGTATTTTATTCCTATATAAATAAGTACAGCATAAATGACAACAACAAGATCGACATGGACACTTTATATCTGATACTATATATTCTCATAAGAGAAAAAGAAAGAAATTTTATTTTTTAAGAACTATCTTACAAATCGTACAGATAAAGTACGTATCTGTTTTACAGTAACAAAAATTTTATTAATTTAAATCAGACATGTGTTCCATGTCGTTTCCGCTTATTTAAACAAACGATAACATTAACGGGCCTGTCCACGCAAGAGTCAACTTTTACGTAAGTCTGTAAGGTGTTGTGAATTCATAGCACTTCAGCCGAGCAACGTGCAGAATTGGGGAAAGTCTTATTTTTCCTTCGGATAGTAATTAAGGATACCCCCACCTCCTCTATTCCACCTTGTTGCCAAATGCAAAGTTCACGTCCGATTGAGCTCAAATTTATTCCGGAGATAGAAGAGAGAAAAAGGAAATCAATATGTTTTTGCTCAGAATTTTGTGACATGATCTTCCATGGGTTTTCTGAAAAACTCCAGCTTTCGACCAGTCACATTATGATCCTCGAAAAAATGTTCTAAACGATTTCTTTTTCATTTCTTTTCAGTGATCATTTTTCAAATATCTCGAGAAAGAAAGCATATTTTTCAAAGAAAATATTTCGAACCTGAGATAGGATATAGAGTACCTGAAGTGAAAATGTCGTCTCGATCGGACAACTTTTTCGAGGGATCATAATGTGACTGGATGGAAACGGGAGTTTTCTGAAAACCTATGGAAGATCGTGTCAAAATTCTGAGCAAAACGATATCGTGTTCCTTTTTCTTTCCTCTGTCTCTGGAATAAATTTGAGTTCGATCGGACGTGTGCTCCACATTTAGCAGCAATGTGAAAAAAGAGGGAGTGGGTACCCTTAAGTAAAGTCTACAGCTGACTAGTTTAAGTGACATAATATATTTGGTATACGCCACTTTAGTACAAAAGGGCCTTACTGGCATGAGCTATAGGCAGGTGCTAAGGATAGAGCTAACCTTCGCTTAATTACTATTTGAAAGTAAAATCTTTAGGCTACAAAATGAGACGTTCCCCAGTCAACTAAAGCGCCATAAATTTTACAAAACGTTTTTTAGCTGGTATGAGCTGCTCAGTTCATTCACCTTTCTCGGATAAATTTTCAATAATTGAACGGAGTAGCCTGTCGCACACCCCGGTAGTCGGACCAGCCCTGAGAGCACCTTTTTAAATATTACTTCTTTCTTTATCTCTAAAGAAAGTGTTGACCTATGAAACTGTTACACCATTAAATCTTTTATTGACCTTTGTTTGAAAGCTACTATATTGAAAAAAAGAACAATACATTATTCAACGTGTACTGTTCCTCCTTGTTCTCCAAACTTGAAGGATCTCTTTTTTTGGCTTAATCATACACCATTCGAAAGCGAATTTCACGCTGATCAAGAATATCTGACTTTTAGCCTTCCCAGTGCACATTATCAGTAAAGACAATTAAAAAAACTTGAAGAGTCGGTTTTCGAAAAACCACTAACTTCTTTTTAAAACTGAGTAACTTGGCTTCACCTCAATTGAACGCAGTGAAACTATGTTTTTCTTATTCAGCGATGAAAACTGCATATAGAACTTACTGTATTTTAAGGTTTCACATAAAAAAATATTTTCTGGGCGCGAAACGAGACCGATATATCTTCGGTTTCGAGACCCTCATTTTTGCAGCCTAGCTCTTTGGTAAATACATGAATACACTAGTGGATTCGCCTTGAAACGTAGAAAAAGTATGAATCGATTTTTTTGAAACTGCTTTCGGTTGCTGAAAAAATTGATTTTTTTCTCAATCAGAGGCGAAAAAGTCAGAATTCTACTCGTAATTCTCCATCAAAAATCAAATTTTATACAGTAGAAATACCATATTCGAGATCAGGATCAAAAACTGAGTCGACTGATGTGTATTTCGGGGCTTTCAGTTGATTTTCATTTATCGGTAAAAATGGCGATGATTTTTCACCGTGAAAATTAGACAAAAGCTAAGATAATCGGATATGATACATTCGATTCGTTTTTTGACTTCAAGTTTGTTTAATTGTCTTTACTGATAATGTGCACTGGGAAGGCTGAAAGTCAGATATTCTTGATCAGCATGAAATTCGCTTTCGAATGGTGTATGATTAAGCCAAAAATAAATAGTACTATAACTTCGAATTTGGAGTGACTTACAAGTAAACAGACGAGTTACGGCTAATGACACTAATGATCCCTTTTGTGTGTTTATTCAATGCTCAGAAAAACAACATTTTCCCGTTGAATTAGAGGAGATCTATCGGAAGTCAGAATTGGTCCACGGTTTTGGTAGGATGAAGGCTTAAAAAACTTTACCTTTCACATCGCCACTGTGAACAATATCCCGAGAATAATATCTCTTACAGTAATTCTTTCAAAAAAAAACAGATATAAGTGATTCAAGATATTCGAAACCACATACGCATTATTTGCAACCACTCAAAAGTAAAAGTAACTAAAATAAACCAAAAAGAGAATATAGAGAAATACATATTGGGCCATCTTTCTTCATCCATTATTTACCTAAATTCTTTACTAAATCGAGCAGGGAGTAAGGGCGTCGCAGAAAAAGCAACTGTACCAAAATAAAGTTCAAAGAACATATCATAGACATGAAGAATAAAGAATTATTTACACTACTGAGTCTTACATGACCTCACTATTCTGTGAACGAGCCTTAAGCTCTTTCGTCAAGTACTTTTAAGTATCGACGTATGGAGTTGTAGTACAAGAAACCCAACCGGTTGTTCGAGGGGTACTTCGGGCGCCGAATAGCCTCGAGAAAATGGCACTTCGGATCCGCGATATAAGCTTTCGAGGGGTATTTCCGAGTCCTCGCCGCACCCTCGAAACAGCGAGCGCTCGGAAGTCCCGAACATCTCTATTCGACGGCTCGAAATTTTTCTCGAGGACTCGCTACCTATCTGAAATCTGCAGGCTCGAAATCGATACCCCACGAAAGCTTATATCGAGGGTCCGAAGTGCCATTTTCCGAGGGTCTATTTTCGAGTACTCGCCGCACCCTCGAGCGACTTTTTTCGTCTGCATGGGAAGATGCGGAAGAGTGACCGTAAACAGTGGTGTTATACAAAAGATAGTGTAAATCAGATTAAATTGTCGTCCTTCGTAAGGGTTTCCTGTCAAGTTACACTTGATGACTCACATGAGTTTGGTCAAATATGTAACATACAATACTGCGGATACACTCAATTAAATAGACTACAATCTAAACTGTAGTAAAAATTGTATCTATAATTTTCGAATATGTTGAAATTTTTCTATTATCAAACACATATAAATTGTTGTTCTTCATGTTATGTCGAACTTGATATTTTGGTTTTACTGCGACCTTTCTTTCGCATTATCAGAATACTGTTTGCGTATCAGGATACAAGATTGAGAGTACTCATAAAATGTGCATTCTCGTTTTAAATTAAATGAATAATATTTTTGTTTAGTTCGTATCACGATATTACTATTCTGCAATGATTATCATCACCTTTTGTTGGTTTTTTATTATTTTATTCGAACAAACAAGCAGAGGTGAGCTCTATAAGTATTATATCAAGAGTATTAGAGCTATTCAATTACCGATACAGCCATGCATTCTGTAGGCAACACTGAAACGTCGCCAGAAACAATCATGGATGATTTGTCATTATTGTCTGAGTCGTGGTCAACAGCAACTATTCATACTGCCTCTCCAACTACAATATCTTTAATAACGGATATTTCATTAAGTGAAATAATCATTAACTCTTTCCCAATGATTTCCAGCACAAACATGGATGATGCATCATCATTGCCTGAGTCGTGGTCAACAGCAACTATTCATACTGCCTCTACAGTAGCGGAAGAGAATGCGATTGAGTTGACAACAGAAAGATTAGATTCACTTCAATCGACGATATCAGATGACGAACAATCAGTTATTTCATCCTCTTATTCAATAGTTGACTTGTCTGCTTCATCTTCAACAATTCCAACTATGATATCTTTAACAACGGATATTTCATTAAGTGAAATAACCATTAATTCTTTCCCAATGATTTCCAGCACAAACATGGATGACGCATCAGTCGTTAGTCGTCACCAATCGTCTCAGTCGTGGTTAACAACAACTCATCATCCTGCTTCATCGATAACTGAAGAGAAATCCACTGGTAATGTTGCTGCCACCGGAAGTTCTACAACACCCCAAACGACTGTTCTCACAACAACAATCATATCTACAACAACACTTGTTACTTCAGATGATTTAGTTTATACAGGTATTCTCGCAGCTTGTGTAATTCATATGTACTTTTGCCCATAACTGTTATCGATTTTTAGATTTTCGACCGTTACCATCAACGTTACCTAATTTGACAATACCTTTCTTGCAAGACAGATTAACTATAATTGTCCAAAATGCATTCGAATGTTTCAATAATCCATCAAGCGCATGCCAAACCACTAAAAGGAAAAATCGTGACACTAACGACTGCAATTATGAAGCTAACGTGACTAATTTAGAGAAAGTAAGGTTTTACTGATTGCAATAAAGGCATGGGTTGCATTCTTATTTCTTTACTCATTCTTTTTGTTGTAGCTTGTACGGAATTTCTACCGCGTCTATTACTATATAACTAAATGCAACACGACCGTGAATGGTCAAACAGTTGTAGAAGTTATGAATAGATATTCAAATACAAAAATGTGGCTTCTACTGGGTGCTGAAATTACTGAAGGAGGAAATGCTCACCTAGCAAGCAACAAGACAAACCCTACGCCACCACCACATCCAACAGATAGAAAACTTTGGTTAATAGGTGCTGTACTCGGTCCGATTGCCTTCACTGCACTAGTTTTGCTCATATTCTATTGTTTGTACGTTAAATGCCGTTCACTAAGGAATCGCAGTAAAGGTGATGGCATATATGTATGTATTTATACTATCTGTTATTGTATTGTTTCGTTTTATAAACACTATTTAAAAATCTTTAGATTCTATCAAACGAGCCTAACTATTTATCAGAACGTGATACTTCAGAAGGAATAGTGAGCTCTTGAGCTACGATAATAGAAGCAGTTCAATATTTTTTATTACATGCCATTTTATTTAGAGTTATAAAAATATAGAGGAACAACCATTAGGACAACTCACAGCTCGAAGACTCAGAAGCGATGTAACTTCAACTCAGAACACTCGATTAGCACAAGAACCTCACAGACAACAATATCTATCATCTGTTAGCTTACCAAAAAGTCGATTTCAATCAACATTATCGGATTCAAGTAAGTTGTAAAGTTGAGCTCAAAAGGTATTGTAAAATCATCAAATAGTTACATACGATTCGGATGGGTAATGATGTTCAGGCGTCGATTTATTCAACTTTTCTCTAAACCGGATCATAAAAAACAACAGACGCTATTTTTCTTATTGATTAGTGAGATAGCAGTAAACGAGTAATTTATCAATAAATTTATGAGGACGACTAGTTATACTGGTGATTTTTGTTGATCAGGTAACTATGCAGTAAATCATACGGCATCATATATTTCATTTCGACGATAATTGTTTCGTTTGATACCCGACAAAAGCTATCGTTGTTATGGTCGATTAATGCCTTTATATTAATTGAACAAGCATCTCTGTCTTGTTGCTGTAAATATAATCAGTTTACATTGAACACAGGAATATATAGCCATTTTCACAATCAATGTTTTATTGTACATGAATAATGATCGATTATTGTTATAGAATCGCTTAACATAATTAATAATTTTGATAATCAACGAGCTCTTTCCTTATATTTGATGAACAGAACGTAACGTATTGGTGTACAATACGGACTAATTTAGTTGATACTTAAGTCAAGCGTCTATAGAAATGAACAAATTTATATTATCATGCCACAAAACAAATGATTAGCAATACATCACTGATTAACATTTCTTCGTCCAGAGGATTAAATAAACATGTGTGTATAAAATCTGTTTGATCACTAGTAACGTAACTCACTGATACTGTTATACCGTTTTAAATTAGATAGGAGTTTGTGTTGACTTAATCTGTTTGAAATTTTCTAAATCTTTTCACCATTTCTGTTGTTGCTAATTTTACATGTCATGCTGGTTTCATAATTAAACTACTAAAAAAATATAAGTATTATAACGATTGTCATCGGTGTGGACTTATAACTACTTTATGCCTATCTTTGATCAGAATGTGGCAGTATCAGAGGCTGTTAAATAATTGTTAGACATAATAATTTGAAATAAGCGAACTCCGAAGAAAACATATTGTATGTAATAAGGTGTTCTATCATTACAGGCTTTCTCACCGTTACGCTAAATAGATATGAATTGCTATTTCTCGCCATCTTTCGCTAAACTCTTATTATACCTTCAGGTCCAAGACGAACACGAATATCAAGAACGCAAACTTATCAACATGCCAGTTCGGTATTTGATAACAACGACGAAATTAATTATTGAAATCTACACCCTAGGCAAAAAGAAAACGGACGTTTTTAAAAATCGTACATTTAAGTGCATTAAACATGCAACGCTTTAAAATATTTTTAATTTTATGTATGATTAGGCTTCCAGCAAATATATGTAACTAGCTTAAGTACCCGGCGTTGCTCGGGAAAATTTGATATTACGTACTTGACATAGAAAAAGACATTGTTATGGTCTCCTATTAGTTATGGCTCCGGAGTCTCGGCTGCTCTAGAGGCCGCATGCCTTGTCCGATCTTCCTCGCATCGAACCTGTCTCTGTGCTGGAGTTTCAGCTGCTGTAGAAGCTGCTTGTCTTGTACGCTGATCATCGACCCGACTGCATCTCTGTTCCGGAGTCTCAGCTGCTATGGAGGCCGCATGCGTTGCCCGATCTTCCTGGCGTCGAACCTGCCCTTGTTCTGGAGTCTCAGCTGCTCGGGAAGCTGCCATTCTTCTCGAAGCCGATGTACTTCTGCCCACCAGGGCTCTTCGTTTTGGTGGCATTTTGCAGTATTCCTAATGTAAATAGGATAGGTTTGAAATATTCTTTAAGAAAGGTGTATTTTTAACAAAGTTACCTTAGAAATTTGCACTTGAAGTCTCAATAGAAAATACTTTAGTAATCTGTAAATTTTGTAGTGTATATTAAATATTATTCACTTACTTGTTTGTGCTCGAGTACCTTTATTAGCAGAATCGTCGGAAGATGAGAAATACTATAGTGATTATGGCTCTGATACAGAAAAACAATAGAAAAGCACACCTAAATATATGTATGGCACACACTAAAACATTCTGATAGCGTCATTGTATAGTGTGATGTGAAAATTCCAGTGACGATATATCACGCATCAGAAGAAATGTGATGCATCATGTGCCGGCATAAAAAACAACGAAGAGATTAAGTCATATCCAAGTATGTACTATAGCTAATCATCTAAACATATTGCACATATATTTATGACTAACCAAAAAATTTTCTTCGATTTCACCGACTCTTGAATACGCTACGTAAAGTTGGCCATGAGAAAAGCAAGGAGTTTCTCACTCTCACCCCCACGTTCACCCTCACCCTCACTGATCCCGTCTCAACCCAAGGGTATGTCATGGAAAGTTTGGTGACGCTGGCTCTTACAGGGACCAAATGCATAAAGAACAGACAAACAGACAAACATTCTTCTTTAAATATATAGATAAATAGATAGATATAGGTTTACACTAAGTTTCAGACCCTTATTTCGAAAACTAATATTGTCACGAGATTCAGCGTGATCGATAACCTATGTTTCCATCTATTTTGAAGGTTCCGGACCTAAAGATCGCCGCGTCTGAGTGTTTCTACACAATTCCTGTGGCTGAACGATGTTGACCTATGGATTTGCTCAGGAGTTGTACAGTATTTCTAATGTTAGAATATCTACTCACTAATTCTTCTCAAAACATTATATATGATTTTGTCCCCCAAACCGCTGGTTTTTAGGATAAGTTTCACCCCGGTTTATACTTTTGCAAAATGAATTCGAAACCTTTAAAGTTTCTGCTGAAAAAAAGGTTTTGTGGCAAACTCGTACATGTTTACTTATTTACATTTTTAAAAAAGGTTTGCTGGTTCTCGTTTATCCGGATCCTTTGTTTAACTTTTTTGGACACTGAAGCATAGGTTCAAGAGTCTATTTTATGGGTAAAAGAAAGAGAAATTTTTACTGTACAACGCACATCAACTTTGATTTTTACATAGTATTTCGTTATCTAAAAAATAGCAAACAATAAAGGCAAGTAAAAATGAAAACTGTGATGCTGTTAGAAAGACGTCTTGTTTTTGACGATATTCAAGTGCTTTGTAACGCGAAAAAAGCCAAGTGAATAGGATATGGATAAAAATGTTCAGCGTTTTCTGGACTATCGTTGTGATGCAAATTGCCCGCAAAAGACATACTATGCTGGCCTACAACTTCGTCAATAACCATTTTCACTTTTGTTAATAAGCAGAAAAAACTATGAAACAAGTAAACAAACAATAACGTACAAATGCAAACAGTATTTGTAGAATAGAAAATGAGCTATCGTTTGCACTAATAACAAATCCTAAGGATTTTAGTGTATAAAGTAACTAATACGATATAAAACTCAGTTCAGTTTATTCTGGCATAGCCATGGTTACATGAAAGAAAAAACATTGCTAGTACAAAAGTTTGTAACAAAATAAAAGCTGCGTTTGATTAAGAATCTAGGCAGATAACTTTGTCAACATGCCCATAGAGGAAGGCGATAAGATATAAGCAAAATGGTAAAGAGAAGAACAAAAGAGCAAGACAAGAAAACCAGTACAAATATTGATAAACAAAAAACATCATTAGTCTCACATTTGAAGAAAGAGTTTGAGAGCATCTTTAAAGGCAGAGAGAGACGGTTTTGAGACTATATGCTCCATTGATAGAGGATTCCAGTCCTTAGGAGGTCTCCAGAAAAAAGAGAACTGCATTGTCTCATAGGTGGTAAAAGGCACTTCTACCGCTTGAGAATTCGCGCTACGGCGAAGTGACCTCGTGTTTCTGACTGCAGTTATGTACTCTTGACGATTAAGAAGAGAGAGGTTGTTATATAATTTGTAAAAAGAGACAAGGCGAAAATAGCGCCTGCGCACTGTAAGATTAGGCAGTCGTAGAGTAGCGAGAGTACTACTGTCTGTTTCAGAGTCGAAATTTCTGGTAATAATGCGCGCCGCAAGCTTCTGAAGAGAATCTAGTGGAGCAAGATGTGTGGAAAAGTTCGATTCGTAAACTGCTGAGCAATAGTCAGTTTTGGGTAGAACACAAGTCTTGTAAAGAGTCAGACGAATGGCTTGTGGTGCGTCTCAGAATACTCGATTTAAGGCTCCTAGCATACGCCTGCAAAGCAAGGCAAGTTCACTAATGTGGGTAGACCACTTAAGATCGTGCGAAAGACGTAAACGTAATAGTTTAGGGTGATTGTCAAGAGAAAGAGGATGGCTGCCAAGAGAAAGTGAAAGATAAGGGTCCATTTTTGGATCTAGAGTGAAATAAGTGTATGAGCATTTATCGGCGTTTAAGTCATTTTATTTTTTTTGCACCAGAAAGACAAACGATCAATTTCAGCCTGAACTAAGGTTTCAATGACTGTCTTATTATCTGTTCTTTTGAATAGTACTAAAACAAAAAGATCATCAGCAACTTTGCTGTCTGAGGCGGATGTTGAAGCATTTAGGTCATTTATAAATATCAAAAAGAGTAAGGGGTCCAGTATGGAACCTTGGGGTACCCCAGATGGTTACTGGAGATAAAGAAGACTGTACTTATCCTGTTTTAACGAACTGTGAACGGTTTGACAGATATGATTCAAGCCATTTCAAAAGCTTTCCTTCAATTCCGATAGATTTAAGTTTGATTAAAAGGATGGACGTTGGCACGCGGTCAAATGCTTTCGACAGATCGAAACTCAAACCAACACAGTGTTCTTTATCATCATTTCTTTTATTCATACTAGTGTATAGAGCATGAGTTACTCTTAGCAATGCGTCTTGGATCAAACATGAAGGCCTGAAACCAAACTGAGTGCTACTAAGCAGATTATTGTCAAGCAAAAAACTCAGCATTTGCTGATGGACGATTTTCTCCAAAATTTTGCTAACAACACACAAAAGCGATATTGGCCGATAATTCATAATGAGGGAGCTATTGCTCTTTTTATGAACAGGTGTGATAGTAGCTACTTTCCATTGACAGGGAAAGGTGCCTGTTTTAATCGACGAGTGAAATATATGCAATAACTGTCTTCCTAAAACAGGAAGGCACAATTGAATAAATTCCAGTGACAAGCCGTCAATTCCAACACTAGCCGTATTATTCATCGATCCAACAGCTTTCACAATTCCAGTGAGGGAAATATGGACGTCCGAAAATTGCGGTCCGTTAGAATTGAAAAGCATTATCGATTACTGGAGTAGAATTTGGTGTAGAAGTAGAATAACAAGAGTTGAAATATGTATTAAACATGTCACAAGAATCTTTGACAGATGACGAGATGTGCTTTGACATATCAGACACAAACTGAGATATGCTCAACTTTCCATTTTTGAATTTATTTATAGAAGTCCAAAAACGTGCAGGGTCAAAAAAGAGAGAGTTTTTTCAAAGTGTTTTTTCTTATCGGTTCTGACTAGTTTAATGACAGTGTTCTGCAAAGCCTTGTAGAGAGAATAGTTTACAGCTGTTTTTTGTATCTTCCAACGATTAAAAGCTCGATTTCTTGTCGCTATTTGTTTACGAGTCATCTTAGAAAGTTCTACATTCGGCTTTTTGGTTAAACTAACTCGCTTCAGCGGAACATGGTCGACTAAGCATCTGTCAATATGAGACTGCCACATGGCAACCACCTCGGACGGATCAGTCGCACGAAAGAAGGTCTCTGGTATATTGTCTAAAGCATTGTACAGAGCGGGAAGATCGCATTTAGAAAAAGCTTTTACATATCTGTGTTTTGCTTGTGAAGTAGTAACATTCATGTCAAAGGAAAAGATTAGAGTGAAATGAATAGAACAACCAATAGAAGGCTGATCTGTAATCATAGGGGGTGTCCAAGAAGAAGGAAATAGTAAGTAATTAAGACAAGATTCTTTTGTGATGGTTACTATAGATTGTGAGCAATCTAATCCGAAAACACTTGCCAAGTCGCGTAAAGCATTGTGCATTGGCTTATCAGATGGGCCCGCGTTAAAATCTCCCACAATGAGTAAACTGTCATATTTTCGAGGCAAAGATCCCAAAATAAACGATTCCAGTTTAGAAAAATATCCGTCTCGAATGAAGGTGGGCGATAAGAATTACAAATAATGAAGATACGTGCATCATTGTGCATCAAACTCATGCATCATTTTTGCGATACCGATCATTTTTCCAGTAAGGATGAAGTAGATAACAACAAAATTATTACACTATGCAACTCTAATAGGGAGAAACTGGAATGCTCTTAAATGATGAGAAAGGTCAACGACAAGAAAAATTAAAGTCGGTTCTTTCTATTGCAGTTTTCATTTTTACTTGTTGTAAATAGCAAAGTTGTTGTATGTTGTACAGCAGGAAATTCTCTTCCTGTTGTGCCTAGAATGGACTCTTGAACCTATGCTTCAATGTCCATAAAATTCAAAACAAAAGTGCCCATTTTATCTAATATACCTGTTGGAAACATAGAAAGGTTAGAGTCATTCAAAAGCGGGCATGCTAAAGGCTATAGTCATTAACAATGCAGACGAACAGGTGTATTGCTGTCGTCAACGGAAAACAAAATGAATGTTATCAAACAAAGTCTAAACAGGTCTAAATAAATTTTGTATTAAACAACGAAACCTTTTTGCATTCCCTAAATTAAATTCGATACTTTCCTCAATACCAATATACAAAGAACACAAAACGCTTGGCTTCTTAACTCATTATATTATTCTTTTCATCATTATCATATTATCTATCTACGCTCAGAAATTTTGTTCGTATGTAGAAAACTAAATAATCATCACAATTTACTATTTATTATCTTCAAGAATATCATCTACATTTTTTGCACGTGTTTATTGGCAATATCAAGTTTAGCACTCAGGAGGAAGAGTATTTTTTATAGTATAATCCTCTTTAAGTAAATAATGGTATATATAAAAATCCTTCCTAGTTTCTATATTGAGCACAAAACCTTTTGATCTACTGAACTCCTGGAGATTCAGTAAATAAACGCGAAACCGTTAAACGCTCGGAAATGATCCACGAAACCTTTAAGGTATTGTAGGAAACCATTGCCTAGTAGGGTTTGGTGGCTGAAAATATACACTTTCAGTATATATACTTTCGAAGTCGGTGAAATCGTTCATTTGATGCAGTACTTCAAGTTTTCAAATGAAGAATTATTTTCAGAATTATGATACCGTCTTCAAAAGTGTATATATATATATATATATACTGTCGCTGTAAACACATTTTAGCTAATACACCGAAGTATTGATCGTCTAGAAAAAAAGCACACACTTTTTCTACAGTGTATGAATACGTACTCATTCTAAACGGGTTTCTGGAACCATACAATGGTTAACTGTAACACTCTGAAGGAGTGACAGACATTGTAGGGTATTTGATGAAAGTCTCGAGTTGGAATAATAGTTTTTCTTAAAAAGAGTGTCGAATTTAAAAGCAACCAACCATCGTCAAATACTGCATTCAAGTAATCATTAGCAGACAACACTTTGAATTCACACCGTGAACGAAAGAGAGTCATGCTGCATTTTGACGCAAAACAAAGTGTTCATCTCCCAGAAAAGGCAAGTTATCAACTGGCAAAAAGAGAAATCGTTATATTTCAAGAAGCAATCAGTCAAAGAGGTTGGAACTTGATGGGTCATCGGCATATTGTCTGTACTATATCTACACTAATTCTTGAGTTACAGGGTACTACATATTTTTGCCAACGCTGTATCATCGAGTTTGTTATGTTTCTTAATGTAGGATTAATCCATGAAAAGTAAGTTCAGTCCAACGCGTAAAACAGAAGAATATAAGAAAGAGAAGGCGTTCAAATAATGATATCTGTATTTCTTTTCACGTGAGATGAAGTGCAAGTCTTTTACAAAACGGAAGAGAAGAGAGAGTTGCCTCTTTTGTGCCCCTCTTGAAAACCGAGGAAGCTGATGTTTGATCAAGGTGAAATTTATACCAGAGATAGAACATCGAAAAAGAAAATCGATGTACTTTTAAAAACACACTTTCTCCTATTTATAAGAAAATATTTCAAATATATAGGGAAGGAGAGAAAAATATACGAGGCTAAAGAATTAAGATTTTCTAGGCTTTGAAGGAAGAACTTAAAAACTTCATAATTTTTTCAGGGAAGGTCGTGCAGAATTCGGAGTGGTCTCAATTTATAGCCGACACTTTCCGCTACATTAGACTATGTGCAGCTCAAAAGGCAAAGTCTTTTGAAAAAAAGAGGGCATAGGATACCCTTAAACTTGATCAGGAAATGTATTAGTTATTGCTGTTGCTTCAATAACTGAATGAACTCCGCTTGTTTGATATAATTGTTTAAACACATATCCACTTTGTTCCAGTAACCGTATATATTCCCTTTTTGTCCTTTCTTTGGCGCTTGTTACCGATAGCATTTCTATATCCATCGCGCGTGCCTCCCAATTATTAATATTATTGGGTAATATCATCATGTCAGCTATAAATATCGTTATAGTTTTCCATTCACAATTTTTATTTGCAAGACGAATCGATTTTAATATTTCAATTGCTTTTTCATCATTCCAATCATGCATAATAAATTTCATCATATATGCATCAGCTTGTGGTATTGTTTCTGATTTAAACATATCACCCGATATAAATTGGTAACGAGTGTGTTCAATTTGTTTTGCTTCAAATTCGTTTGGTTTTGATGTTTTAGCATTTTCAATAACATGATCTAAGTCAAACACAATACCATTTAATTGTTTGCATTGCTCTAGTATAAATGATAATAATGTACCTACCCCACCACCAATATCAACTAATATTGTAAAACGTGAAAAATCTGTAACTGAAGCAATCAATGGTCCCTCATAGTTTGAAAATGAACTCATTGCATTATTAAACATAACTGAATATTCCTTATTTTCTTCTTTTTGTAAATAATCAAATAAACTATCACCAACTGCTTGTTCAAATCCATTACCATTTATATAACCATTTTGAATTAAACTGGGAAGGTACGTTGATGACTTTTCCATAACTGGACCTAAATCTAAACGAACTATATCACGAGCGTTTGATGGATGATTAGTTGTTAGGAACAGACCACTGTCTGTTAATTGAAAACGATCTTCATATTCTGGATTATTGCTAGTATTTGAATCTTCATCATCGGAGGGGAACTGTATAACAACATCAGCGTCAGCAAGTGTTCGTAATACACGATACAGAAATTCACTATTCCAATTATTTCCATTTAGTCTACTCAATTCAGCTGCAGTTAGTGGTGATTCATGACTAGCCATTTGATCGGCAACACCTAATTCAGCAAATGCCCATAGAGCTCGTTCGACATATCGATGAGTTAGAAATGACATAAATTTTGGTAAACCTGTTTTGACCATGGGAGAGATCATAGCTTTTTTTGCGTGATCAGCCATTGTGAGAATTAATTCATCCAAAACTAAAGAGATTGTCAAGTAAAAAGGTGATAGTACAAGTAAGGAGAAGAGCACCGAGTGAAGCTAATAGTCAAAAGTATATAGTTCCCTGTAACTCAAGGATCAGTATAGATATAGTGCAGATAAGATGCTGATGATCCAACAAGTTTCAACCTGTTTGACTGAATGCTTCTTGAGCTATAATGATTTCCGTTTTTGTCAGCTGATAACTTGCCTTTTATGGGCGATGAACACTTCGTTTTGCGTCAAAATAAATGCTTCTAGACTGACTTTTATTAAGGAGAGCATCGAATTTAGAAGTAACCAACTATCGTCAAATAGCTGCATTTAAGTAATGCCAACACTTTAAATTCAAACAAAAATACTGAAAAATACCACTTTAAACTCTAAAGGAAAGAGAGTCATACTGCATATTGGCGCAAAACAAAGTATTCATCGATCATAAAAGGCAAGTTATCAGCCGACAAAAACAGAAATATCTCAGTTATATCTCAAGAAGTATTCAGTCAAAGTGGTTTAAACTTGCTGGGTCATCGGCATCTTATCTGCACTATATCTGTACTGACTCTTGAGTTACAGGGTACTACATGCTTTTGTTAATGCTGTATTATCGAATTTATCACGTTTCTTAATGTAGGATTAATCCATGAAAAATGAGTTCAGTCAAGCATGTAATAGAGAAGAATATAAGAAAGAAAAGGCGTTCGAATAATGATATCTGTATTTTTGTTCATGTGAGAATAAATATTCTCTTTCTAATATTCTTCTCTATTACGTGCATGACTGTAACGATTTTTCCTGGATTTATGGCATGACCTATGGACATTTGCCGAGGTAGGTGGGACGGGATTTTGGACCAAAACATCTTTTGCAAGAACTTGAACCAAATTTCTCACGAAGAACGCTTTTTGTAGTCAAAGTCTGGATATAAACATTGTTTCGAGTCAAATTCGCCGAAATATGCACGATAGATTCTTTGAAATTCTTTAAACTCGATTTTTAAAACAAATCTTTATAATTTCTTAATTAATTTCAGAGAAATCGACTTTTTTATTGGATTCAAATTATTTCAAATTACTTTTGGCCCCAAAATCCTATTACGGAAGTAAAAGTCGAATTCCTCTACCACAGATGGTTCGACAATGACAGAAAAAGTTTTTTTCAAAAAAATACGTGTTCGGCATATACCTTTTGAGAGTGTTCCTTGCAAACTGCTGAAAAAACCGAGTGACCACATTCACCTCTTAAAGTTTTGACATAGGAACGATATAGTCGCAGTTGTCTTAGAGTGATGACTAGAATCACTAATCATTTATTCTCTGACTATTTTTTTCAAGGAAAAAATCGAAGAAAAGTCACAATAAAGGAATCGGATCTTTTTCCTCTTATCGTGTATGCTTTTTTTTTATGTTGAAAGTGCTAGTCGAGAATCTTAAGTATCGAATTAGATCTTGACTCAAAATCTAATTTCAATAGTTACATATGCAACCAGTTGTCGTCTACATGACGCAATCAAAATAAAGTCAAAAGATGTTCTAAATATCAATTAAATTGTTTAGAAAAAGAGTCGTGAGACAAATTAAAGAATAACCGAAAATTTCCTGTCTTTCAAAAACTTTTTCGAATGCCATATCTTTATTGAAAATATATACCTTATTGCAGAGAATTTAATTCTGTATCTCATACGACTATTTTTCAAGCGTTAAAAATGACCTATGTATGTGAATAAATTCGAATTCAAAAAACCTAGATTTAGATTTTTTCCTTTAAAATTTAATTTTCATCCATTTGAAAGTTGATAAACCTGAACAACTCGAAGATTGCTCCCACACAGGGCTGTCCGTCTAAAGCGAAAATTCTAAATTTGAGAATTCCTTCGTAGCATCACCGAGTCAATGTGCCCGATATGAACCTTACAACTGCACAATTTCAAAATTTACGTATTTAGGAACTTACGGCTTTCGGAATTTTAGAATTTATAGAATTTACGAACTTTCGAATTTATGAATTTTCGAATATATGAACGAATATATTCGAATATATGAAATTCTCACATGCTAAACTTCCAAAAATTCCAAAATTCAGAAATTCTTATGTGCTAAACTTCAGAAGTTCTATATGTGTATTCCCCAAGGGGAAAAAGCATACTTAAGTACGAAAGGGGGAAAAGCGTACTTCGTGCTTCAGAAGTACGGAAAAGTACCGAGAAGTACAGAAGTATGCTTTTTCCCCCTTGGTATCCCCTCTGCAGACTATCGCTTACTTTCAAATTTAGTACTTTCACAAAAAGCGGACATCTCTGCTCCCACAGGCCGTTATTTTGTCTCAGATCAAATCGAAACACATACCGTAGGGAGCAGCTTTTGCTCTGTTCAGGAATATCAACTTTCAAACAAACGACAAGGATTTAAAACTTTGAAATTATTGCTCGAGATGAGATGCATTCACTAAAATTTTCATCCAAATGTGAGAACATCTTTACACACTCTATTAAGGGTTGGATGTGATGTTGGATACAATTCAAACGCTTTGTTTTTCCAAATATAACATCCTTCAGTAGTTGATCATGATTTTTATAGCTTTTTTCAAATCATAAAATATTTTCTGTTTGAAGTTCTCGTTAAGAGTCCTGCCGCTCTTCAGAAATTATCTCCGACACCGTACATCCGATCTTGACGAAACTTTCCATAAATGTTAGGTTTAGTGAGTTCCGGGAATCAAAAAATTGTTTTGTCTCACAATTGTTTTGTCTTACAGTTTAGGAGGTTTCCAGAGATCAAGGTCCGAAAAGGATCCTGAAAGTTTTCCGTTGTTTTATTTTAAACTAGATACCTAACTACATGGACTGATAAAAATCGGCCTCGATTAGCCCATATAGTTTCTTTTCCTCTTTTAAACAAAAGAAGAATAAACTCTCTACGACAAACCACTATTAAAAATCTTGGAAAATACTTCAGGCGTAACTCTTATACAGAGAAAACACTGCATAAAATACTCAATTTTAGGACTTGTAAGAAAATGCCTGTAACTTGTTGGTACGAGGTTAAACAGAGTTGTGCGAGGTCTTATTTTGATCAGAAAAGTTTCCTCTACAAATCTGTGTGTTCAGAAAAGCTTTGATTGCTTAAATATCCAGAAAAATATTATTTGAAGACCCGGTTTTTCGAGGCTCCAAGAAAATTGCTCAAAACCTGCGAAAAAACACTTTTATAATCAAAAGCGATACAGATTCTGAAAGTGCTATCTTCAGGCTATCATTCCATGTGCGTATCTCAAAACTGATTTTTTGACCGAAAATCATCATTTCTGAGAAAGAGAGAGGGGAGGGATCAATACTTTTAAAAACCGTTTTCAAACAAACATTTATTTAATCTTCAAATAAAAACTTTTTAAATTCCAAATATATGTTATATCTCATATGCCCATATTTTTCATAGTCAAAATTAACATTTTTTGTTAAATGTGCTTGTGCAAATAGCCATAGTGTCCAAAATAGTTGTGCTAAAGCACTAAATTTCTCAATTAAATTACACATTGTATCTAAGTCAAAATCATCATTTTCAATTTTTTTTGTTCTATAAAAAAGATAAATTTTTAACCATTGTTTTTGATATTCTCTTGATGGATACAAATTTAAATTTGGTTCACCAATATAATCAGTATATTCAGAAAAATGATTAGCAATATCATAGAGCCAATAATTATAGAAACTATATTCAAAATCAATAAATGAAATATCATCTTTTTCACTATTATAAATAATATTACCACAAAATAAATCATTATGACATAAAACAATATCTAACTTAAATTTTGGCATAATAAATGTTTCAATATATTTAATATCTGATAATAAATTTTTATGTAATTGATCATTTGTTTCAAATAAAGAAATAAAAGTTTTCATTTGTGATATTAAACATGTATCTAATTTTTTATTTGGTAATGGTAATGAATGATAATGAGCAAGTTTTCTAGCAATAAGAAATGATAAATGTTTTGATGAAAGTTGTTTTGAATTACATGTTTCACCTTGTATATATGAATAAATAAAACCATTAGAAAATTGTATCAAAATATTATTAGATAAATTATATTTAGATAACTCTTTCATTATATTTAATTCATTTTGACGATTTATAAATAAGTCAGTACTTGGACCATAAATTTTTATAATTAATCCTTCAGATTCATTATTAATTTCATTTGTATTAGTATCAATTTGAAATAGACCAATTGTCGTATTGGTAATACCATCATTAAATTTTTTAAAGATAGTATTAAATTTTGACCATTGCGGACGAATTGTTTGAATTAATAAATATACATTTTCGATTGTTGAATAATTCAATGTTACATTGTTAAAAATGACTAAGTCGTTATCAGTCATGACCTGTTAAGTTAAATGATGATTCTACAACAATGTAATGGATATTGTTTTCTAGTAGCATAGTGCTTTTAGCTTAGAATAGTGTCTGACTCTTAAAGATTGGACAAAGTAAAGAAAAACAATCATGTCATTAGCTTTGACTTTACTGACTATGCATCACAGACAAACACATGTTATTACTCACTATTATATGCACAGATAGAAAGAAAAAGCGAATAGTTTATAAAGATTCACGTTACTACCCTAGTGTTGAAAAAGACGGATGAAGACGCAGCTTAGAAATTCATCTATTCGTGTTCCGAATCCATTGACATCCCGCTTTCCAACTTGGTAACATAAAGAGATCTTGTGTGAACGATGAAATAATACATAGAAATATTACGACGATACTATTACATTTTTAACATTTGGTTTATCAATTTAATACGCAATCTACGAACTCTTTATTCTGTAAATGAAAGCTCAAATAATCATTTTTTTTAGTAGAACATATATTCTCGGCAGAATTGTAACTACGGAATACAGAACATACTGTAATTCAATTAAAAAATTACACTAAGAGAGGTCTTGATGGGTATAAGTATACTCAAACAAGGAAATCAGCATGATGGAAAAGTAACTAAATTCATGCTAACCGTTTTGATGCAACTTACATGCAAAATTATAAAAAGGAATCCAAATCAAACGATTTTTAAACAGAATTCTGTTGATTAACTTTTACTTTCTAGATATTAATAATGAAATTATTTGTATTATTCACTCATAGCTAGAAAAGCTGTATGTGCATATGTAAAGCGTTCGTCACGCTTGAATCATTATGTTTAATTGTAGTAAGCAAGGTGATGAATGCTCTTTATTAGGTTACGACTACGACAGATTATTGAATTATTATAGCTTGAAAGTTAGACTGAGAGAATATGAAATCAACAGAATTGTACGAGATTAATAGCAGCTAAAAACATTGTGTGATAAAGTAATTTAAAAATTTCAGCGTTTCAACGACTCTTATTCCAGCAAAGAGAGCAAATAATGAACGAGGTATAAATATTATCCATTGTGATAGTTATAATGTGTACCGGTATTCTAATTGAATTTTAAACAAAACCCTTTGAATGTCAGTATTGCTGCACTGATCGTTATGTGCCCATGCATGAAATTTCATAAGAATAATGTAAGGTGCTGGAAATTCGAAGGTACACACAAAAGCAGATTTTCTTTAAATATATACGGTTGGATAGCCCGTGAAACGTAGATTCCGAATATCACCTTCTTATTTACTTTTGATCAAGTTTTGAGAGAGAAATCTTCAAAATACTGAATACCAGTGTCAGTTCAGTGAGTCTGAAGTGAGATTTTGACACTTTCGAAGTAAACTTCAAATTTGACCCAGTTACATAGGTTCTCGTTTTCTCAGACACACATATTCGGATTCAGCAGCTCAAAAGGAGTCCGGCCATGTAAGTTCGAGAGTATTTTATCTATTCTAGCGCCTAAGCCAGATGGCCTAAGTCCGTCCATGGCCGTTTTGAGACCTCTGTGCGCCAAACCTATGTAGTCTTTTGCATTAAAAGCTTTCCCCAATAATTATACATCATTCGAACCGCCACTAAAAGGCGAACAAAAGTATACATGCTTCGAGAAACTTTCGCTTCCTCGTGGAGAAAAGTCAGCTTTACTGAATCAGAGGCGAAAAAGTCGAAATTCTGCCAGTAGTTCGCGATTTTCCCGAACAAAACCCTATTTTTCTCCAATAGAAATATCATATTCAGAATCAGGATCAAAAACTGAATCGAATGATATGTATTTCGAAAATTTTTGACTCCTTTAATTTTTTTCGAATTCCCACTTCGAGAAATCGTCGGAATTTTCACCAAATTTCACAGATTATTGCCTCTAGATTCAACGCTGATAATGCTTCCTTCATGGAAAACCAAGTTATTGTATGCGATTTTCAATTAGCTTCAACTAGTGTAGCTGGCTGCAGCGTCCGCTAACCCCCAAATTTTAATATGGCTTGCAATAGATTACACCAAGGCTGTTATGTTGCTGGGGGCTTTTTATGTCAATTCAAAGATTCAAAAACGTTCTAACTACTTCTGGTCTATTCTGCAGCCTATTTCATTTATGAATTTGTCGAGTGCAGGCTTAATTCAGATGAAACCGACTACGATATACAAAAGTTTTGATGCCAGTGGCATTTCTTTCCAAATTTAACAAAAAAAGTCACCCACAAAGTTTGCAGTTTATACCGAAAAGCCATTGATGAATGGTATGAAATTAGGTCATTCCATTCCTTAGTGTCGGAAAGTTATGGTACAAAGTAAGATCTAAGTAGTTAGTTAAATTAATTGCAATATGTATATTGAGAACAGGGTTACAACTAGTGATGAATCATTATGCATGTTTTTGCTTAAAGTGTATCGCATTCTTATTTCAGTTTATGAGTTATTCTTTCTCCTTCTTCATTCCATTCATAAATACCTTATTTCCCGTTTTTTAAAAATAAGAGGAATGTTTGTTATCTATACACATTCTGAACATCACTGTAAAAAAAAATACCTTTATTGTTTCATAATCTTGAGTGTTACATACTATCTATCATCATTCATGTGTCCTCAGAGTAAGACCGTTGAAGAGCATTCTAGTGTAATTCTGTACTATTATGGTTAGTATAACCATGCAATCTGCTGGTATGACAACTCCAATGGAAATGTTGGTGCTAAATATGCGGAGCATAACTACTAAAGCCACCAAGCTTTTTAACTCTACTTTGACAAAATTTGAATTGCTTCAGGCAATGTGTGACCAGTCAGACCCTGCTTTTGTTGCTATCACCCAGACATGGTTAGACTCGTCTATAACAGATCAAGACATCACTATGAATGGCTATACCCTACACCGGTTAGACCGTAATCGCGAAGGCGGTGGATGTCTCTTGTATCATAAAGACCATTTAACAGTAAAAGGACTTTCTGCTGTTGAAGACAATCGTTTTGAAATTATGTTTTTCGAAATTGTACTTCCTAAAATAGAAAATATTTTCTTTGCAGTTAATTATCGATTCCCGAGTCTTTCAAACGGCGAAACTGATGAGTATATAGAATTTTTAAGTGACACTATATGTGATGTTATTCGAGCGGGATCTTTTGACGGTGTAATATTAGTAGGCGATCTCAATGCACACAGTGACGCCTGGTGTAATTCGCATCCAGAACCGGCAGCTGGCAAAAAGTTTTTTGAATTTTCTGATATTTTCAATTTCAAACAATTAGTGAAAGAGCCTACAAGAGTTAGCAAAGATGGAATGACTAAAACAGTGCTTGACTTGGTGTTTACTAGTTCAAATAACTTCATAAAAAATGTAGAAGTAGAGGACGCTTTGTGCCTGAACTCTGACCGTAAGATCGTCAGAGTTGTGCTCTCAACTGACGCTACTCGATCACCACTACTGACACGTAAAATCTATAACTATTCTGCTACTGATTGGAACTATTTTCGCTACGAATTAGTGAAATTGCTTAATACTATTGCAATTCTCTTCTATAACTCGACCTGTGTGAATGAGAAAGTAATAATGTTAGAAAATTGTGTAATGAATGCAGTAGATAAATGTGTTCTCTCGAAAACAGTTCACATATTTTCATTAGACCAGCCATGGTTTACTCAGAAGTTAAGACAACTTTCTCGACAGAAAAAATGCTTATATCGAAAACAAAAACAAACGAATTCCTCAGCATCTTCCAAGCGAAGTATCAAAAAATAACTATCGAATTTGAAAAGGCATGTGAAGTTGAGAAAGAAAATTATCTTTAAAAAATACGTCAAACTAACACATCGAAAAAACCATGGTGGAATTTAGCCAAAACATTATTTCGACGGTCTCGCTCTTCAAAAATTTCTAAGCTGAGAGATGAAAATACTCAGGAATGGTCTGAAGACATGAAAGCACATGTTTTTAATCATCATTTTGCTGCCATATATACCATGACTACTGCCGATTATGACAAAGATATTCCACCTGATAAACTCCCTCTCTCAACTCCCACATTAGATCTTTTTACAGTAACCACCAGGGAAGTTGAAAAATGTTTAAAAATGATTAATGTTAGTAAAGCTACTAGCCAAGGCATAAGTTCAAAATTTTAAAAGAAGCTGGGCCTATTATTGCTGAAGACTTAAAATACATTTGTAACTGTTCTCTATCATCAGGAATTTTTCCCGATAAACTGGGATTAATACATCCACTTTTTAAAGATGGTGATACCAGTCTTCCTACAAATTACAGACCCATCATGCTTCTTCCTGCTATGTCTAAGATCCTCGAAAGGTTAGTTTACAATAAGCTTTATAGACATCTGAAAAAACATTGCTACACATTTTTTTAA